CTCTGTGGGAGGTCCTTAGGTCATTGCAAGTATGCTGTGCAATGATATTGCAGCACTCCAATCTCTCCCCAGTTTGTAATGTAAGCAGCTTGATCTCTCGTGCACTCATGTTGTGATGTGCCACCCAATCTTGGACTAGAACCTCTGAACAATAAGCTAAAAGAAACATTTTCCTTTTATAACTTAATATGCTGGGATATTTCACTACAGTAATGTGAAGCTGACTAATACAATAAGTAAGTTGTAGGAAATAAAATCTCCAGATGATACCCTGAATGGCAAAGAGCCTCCTTCATCCTAGTTTTCTAATGATTTCACAGTTGCCACCAATTTGTGCCACTGGAACAGAACACTTGAGACTAGATGATTTATAAACAACAGAAATTTGTCTCTTGAATTCTACAGCCTAGAAAGTTATAAGAGGCCCACATCTAGTAAAGAGCATCTTCCTTCATCATCCCATGGCAAAATGGCAAGAGAACACGTGATAGAGTAATGGTAAGTGTAAAAGATGGTGACTTTTCTAGATAATTCATTTCTACAATAATCACATCAATCCATTCATTAGAGTAGAGTCCTCATGGTCCAATTATCTCTTAATGGTCCCACTTTTAACATCACAATGGCAATTAAGTTTTAACATGAGTTTTGGAGGGGACATTAAAACTACAGTACCCACCAAAGTGCCCAGAATATTAGTGAAATCATTTAGGCATTCCACACCAGAATTCACTACCAGATTTGTGATTCTGGTTTAATGCCAGAATAATGGGGTAGGACAATAGGAAACCATGCTCTGTCTAGATTTGTGACCCATAAAAGTGTGGCATAAATTGTTTGACTCGATTAATTATGTGCATAGTTTAATATGGAGCAACATATAAGTGGGACAGAATTTATTACCAGGAGATAGGATGATGTTCTCATACACCTAACTCTGACTTTGGTTTGGGGATAAGTTGAGAATGGAAGCTAAAAGGCACTTAAGGAGATCAATTGCCTGTTGGAGACCTTTTGGAGACTACTGGTGAAGGTTCAGAGGACATTATTGGAAACTGGAGGAGGAAAATACTATTTTATCACACTAAGCAATATGTTGCCTATGGGAACATGGAAGATATATAAGGTGCTTCACATACATGTGCAGGATGATGGAAAAATTTCCAGGCAACATGTAGAGTCTGCACTCATTCTATGTACCTTTGAGCAAAGAAATGCATGCAGAAAGGAAGTGACTAAATAAAATGTATTAGTCTGTTTTCTGTTACCAAGAGCAGAATACCACAGACTGGCTAAGTTGTAAGAAAAGAGCCTTTAACATGCTTATATTTGTAGAGATATACAGGCTTGGCTCTCTATCTGGTGATGGCCTTTTTGGTGGCAGAGTTCCAAGGCAGCACACGGTATCACATGGCACAAGACAGGGAGCACATGTATGTATATGTGCATTGGGGGCTGTATCAGTCTATTTGATCTCTTCCTCTCTTACAAAGCCACCCCCATGACATTGTCTAATTCTGTCAACCTCCCAAAGACCCTTCCTATACAAACCATAGTTAGGTAAAATTTCCACCCTGTTAATAACTCAGGATGGGGATTAAATTTTGACATGAAAAATCTTGTGGGGTAACTAAAACCATAGAAGAAGAATATTTAGTTTTTGAGGAGAAGTTAGAATATAGAAAACCTGGAGTGAAATAGTCTTTTAGCTTGAAAAATGCTCTCGGGTAAGAATTGACCTCAAGACAATGTTCAAATCCAGGGGAAATAAAGTGACCTTGGGTAAGGAATAATTCAGGGGCATGGATCCTGAATTAAGACCTAGGAAGGAATTTTAGGATACGCTTTACAGCTGGCTTCATTTATAAAGAAGGTTTCTAAGACACAGTACCTGTACAAGTCCTAACTCCTAGTTCTGAATTTAATTTTATGTGGAGATAAACTCTTTTCCAAGTTAAAATTACATCATGCTGGTGAGTTCTAATCTCCATCATGACTTGTTTTTTGTTTTGTTTCGGTACTGGAAAATGAACCAAGTGTCTTCTACCACTAAGCTATACCCCAGCAATTTATTTCCTTCTTCCTTTATTTCTTTTAATTTTTTTGATTATAGACAGGGTCTTGGTAAATTGCCAAGGTTGGCCTAGAACTGGTAATTCTCTTGCATCAGCTGCTTAAATCATTGGGATTATAGGTACCACCACTCCCACTCTACACTTTGAAAAATATTGAAATACATATTAGTACCTGTGTAGTTGAGCATTGGATATAGGCTATGAGTATATCAAGGTGGAAAAGAGAAATTCTTAGCTGCCTTGAACAGCCTCTTAAGAAATATTAAAATTGGGAGTACAGCTAGTAAAAGTTGAAGGAAGTGAACAGCATCTTGGAGAGGATTTTTGGAGACTATCGGTGAAGGTTCAGAGGACATGAAGACAATATTATTTGAAACTGAGAGAAAAAGACTATTTTATCACACTCAGCAATATTGTTGCCTATGGGAACGTGGAAAATATAAATGGTGCTTCACGTATGTGTGCAGGATGATGGAAAAATTTCCAGGCAAAGTGTAGAAAGATTGAACTCATTCTTACTGAACACAGAAGGGAAAGGAGTGCTTCTTTAAGTTCAGAAAGTTTAGAAGAATTATGTCCTGCAGCAATGTTGACTGCAGGATTAATAAGTGAATATAAATTCAGTGATATACTGCTTGGGATTATCTATTATATAAACATATAGTTCAGGTGTTAAAAATGTGTTAAAGGTTCTGCCTGGTTTATTTATTGCTCATGTAAAATTTGAGAGGTGGGATCAATTGTTTAAAAGGAAATAGAACTTGATTGTTTTGAAAATTCTCATCCTCTCCCAACAGGAAAAATACTGAAAGTGAGGGTGGGGGAAAACCTGCCACAACTAAGACCTAAAGAGAAGGCTGGATATCATCTAATCTTTTATGTGATGTCATTCAGATACAGCCATAAAAGGGACAGGAGAGACTCAGGCAAAGATAGGTTTATTATATCCACTGGCTCTTAGAGTGGGTCACCATATGCATTGTATGGCCATTTTTGTCAGGAGTCAAGAGAGCAATGAGGAGAGCCTAGGTAAGGGCCTTTACTGAGTTTTTGTGGGAAAGACCAGATATGTCTGATAAACCATTTGGGATTGGGTAATTTGAATTGCTTTGGTGAATTCTGGGCTGTACTGTCATCCTCTACTTGCCTGGATCCTGACCCTAAATGAGGCAGAGTGATATTGCCTCATGAGGGAGGGACCAAATAGAAGAGATACAGCTCTTGACTGGTTAACTAAGGCTTGCACCTGGCTGAGCCCCTCATACCTAAGAATTGGGTAGCCCCATGAAGAAGTCTTTACACAACCAGAAAACCTTTTAATGTGTTAAAAATATTTTATTTGTCTTATTAATTATAAACATTAGAGTTAAAGTGAAACTCTACAACCTTTTACTGAGTCCTCAGAAAGATAAAAAAGACTAGTGAGGATAGTTTTTGCCTAATGGAGTAAAACCCAGTATAATGAATGCAAGACCCCCCATGCTCTTGACAATTTTTTTTTCCAACAGAAATATTTCTAGCTTGGAATGAAAAGTTCAGAGGGAATATAAAATGAAAAGCTTTCAGATGACCAAAATTCTATTGGCAGCAGCCAGATTAATAAAGCAACTTGGTTTCAAACACTTGCTTATATATCATGCAAAAGAAAAGATGACTGAGAAAGTGGAAATGGTGCCACTGAGGGAAGAGCCTAGAAGCCCAGAGACTAAAACTAAGTCAAGAAAAATGTCATTATTTGCCTAGTTTTATTACTAACTTCCAGGAGCCAGTTATTCCTTTTAACCTTCTGTTTTTACTCCTGAACCAAAATATCTATAATAGTTATCCCATATTTCTCTCA